ACCCTCTGCCTGGTCCTAGGCACCTCCCCAACGGTACTCACGGCAAGGCATTTGTGCACGTCTTTCTCAGACTCTTCCGTGCGTTAACACCAAGTGAGCTCATAGAACCTTGAAGGGGTTTCATGGCTTTGTTTAAAATAATGAAATATATTTTGAATTAATGGGAACCTTATTTCTTTAGGTAGTGTATAAATTCAACTCCCTGTGATTCTTCATAGTGTTAGAACAATCTAGATATAATCTTGAAGTAATTTAAAGCTAAATTATAATAATGAGTTTTGTACCAGTTTCACTTACTGTATATGAGTCTGTCTCAGTTAACACTATAATTTTGCTCCTCAAAGCTTAGTATAAAAATGTGTTTGGGTCCCCCAAATATTGCCATTAATTATATCCTTTTGAAATTATGATTTTTTTTATCATAAAAGCAATTCTGTATACATATGTATATATACAAAAGGAAAACACTTTCTTCATAGTCCTGACCCCAGTCATTCTCTCCCGGAAGAAACCATTGTATTTATTCTCTGTGGAAGCCTCCAGAGATCACAGTCACATGCATTGTCTTACTTAATTTTCACTGTGCTTTCCTTTAACATTTGATGTACATGCACGTGCATGCATGTACACGTTCATTTATTTGTGGTCGCTGGGAGAGAGCTGGAGCACTTCTGTGTGCTCAGCACGGAGATGCACGTTTTACTAGCTCCATTTTACAGATTCGAATGCTGAGGTTCAGAGATGAGAAACAGGTTACTCGGGGTCTTATAGCTTGTAAGTGACAGAGGCCACTCCCAGTGCACACTTGCTGTTTAGACACTCTAGTGGTTTTGTAATTGCAAACCTCTCATTATTACCAGACTCAAGGGCACTCTCAAAATTAATACTAAGGCTCAAAAGAATAAGGAGAGCTTTGGAGTGGTGAGGATGAGATCTAGGAATGGTTCCTAAAATCATACCTCTGAACTTAAATCCCAGCCAGCAGGTGCAGGAAGTGACCAGATGTGGGGGTTCACCCAGTGCTTCGCCACTCAGTGAGACTTTGGGAGAACCACACTCCCTCAACCAGGGAAAAGCATCTGGTTTTGGAAGGCCTTTGAGCTGCTGGGAATGGAGCAGAAGTTCTACCGCCCACTGGCCTGAGGCTTCCCTATTTTGTGCCGTTTACCTGGACGCAGATCCTGGGAGAAGACCCTGGCAGTTGTGGTGATGGCTGACTCTTTCTGATTCATATCAGCATGAGGGGAAGCTTGGAGCATCTGTGCCCAAGAGCTCAAAAATCCCCCTGGAATGCCAGGAGGCACTGGGAGCAGGGGTATATGTGCTCTGTCCTCTTCATAGGAGAGGTGTCAGCTACCTCCAGGCAAAGGAGAAAGAATAGCTACTGTTTATTGGGCATATATCTGATAGGTTGGGTGGTGTGCCACGTGCTCTTCATTGACATTTCCTCTTCATTACATCCCTGTAAGATGGAATGTTGAGGCCATTTTTTAGACCAGCACCTTGGCCATCAGAACATCGGGTAACTTTCTAGAGGACATAGAACCAAAGTGGTAGAGGTTGCATCAAGCCCTCACCTGGTGACTCCAAAGCCCATGCTTTTGCCAGTGCTGGGCACTGGGCTTAGAAGCTAAACACACCTGGCCGACAGCTCATGTGTCATGGTGGACACAATTAAGTTCACTGATCACTCGTCTTTTTTTTTTTTTTTAAAGATTTTATTCATTTACTTGACAGAGAGCGAGCGAGAGAGAGAGGATGCACAAGCAGGGGGAGCAGCACAAGGAGAGGGAGAAGCAGATTCCCCACTGAGCGGGGAGCCCGACACAGGACTCGATCCCAGGACCCTGGGATCATGACCTGAGCCGAAGGCAGACGCTTAATTGACTGAGCCACCCAGGCACCCCGGTCACTCATCTTTTGTGGCCATTTCTAGTCTTAAAAATTATCTCTTTGTTTAAGTAGTGTCTTCTTGTTACTCAGTGAAAACATTTGCTAAGCTTGACTTCTTAAGATGACACTTGAAAAAAATGATGCAATCTGAACTTATATTGGAATGTAAACAACCAATCCTTTCCTGGTGGCAGAGGCTTGTGGGAATAATATTTTTCAAACTGTGAGTCATTGTTCATGAATGGGTTAGAAAATCACCTTAGTGGGTCAGGATCAGCATTTTAAAGATGAAAATAGGATAAGACAGGAGAGAATAGAATAAGAAAATATCGGGGCATCGCACACGGCAAGGGTGTGATTTTCATTTCAGTGACATACTTACATATGCATTAATGGAAAATGATCTCTTACTACTGTAGGTCACAGTTCTTTTTAAAAGTTAGCTTCAGAAAGGGAAAGATGAACAGACGCATAATTCATTAAATTGTGCGTTGTTCTTTTCTATGGATAGTTCGTCCTCTAGGTCCTACCAGAGCTACCTTTAGCCCATTGGCATGGGGGTGTTTTCAAGTAAAGCTTTCTGGAAATATCTATGTTACTCTTTCCCCAGATCTTTGATTCAATGGATGTGTTTGTTAAATTTTAAAAATGTTTTGGACACTCAGGGAGGGCAAAGGAACATCTCCAAAATCTGTGGTGTTAGTATCAGAGGTGGGACCAGAATTAGATTATTTATGGGTTCTTTTCAGACTAGGAAAAAAGAGGGGTGAGCAGTGGCCCCTAGAGCAAGGTCAGTGAGCAGCTGTTCCTTCATTGATGGAGCTAGAACACAAGGGAAACAGACTGGTTATAGCAGGAGGGATGGGGCTGGACCTGGGGAAGGGTGTCCTCATGGTACAGAGTGGGCAGATGTGTCACACCTGTCCTCCTGAGGTCTTGAGAAGAGTAGATAAATCCCCTTGGGGGACCATGGGGTCTTTTGGGGGGCAGCTGGAGGGCAGTGAGCCTGAGCTTTTTCCCACCCCAAGGTGTTCTTCTCCATTTAGCCATGCTCTCCCTCTCTCCTGTTAGCAAGCCTAATCTGGAGCTGGCCGTGCTTCTGTCCTCAGCCTTGGATGGATATGCTGAATCCCGTCATGTTTTGCTGGGCTGCAGTTAGCTTTGCTTTTCATCCGGATGTCAAAGCAAGCCTGCAACAGCTGTGATCAGCTGTTGGAAGGGGGAGGTGGGGAAGGGACAGCTCCTGGCTTCCTGCCCAACCCTAGTCGACTGCTTACTGTCCACGTCTGTTTGTCTCTTCCTGTTGTTGACTCTGTCGCTCTGCCTTTTTCTTTCTGTGTGCATCTCTTTTCCTCTTCCTCTTTTTTCCTTCTCTTCTTCCTGCATCTCTCTGTGGACAGTTGGAAGCCACCATGCTTTTACCCGGATCTTTTAGGGCAGCTGGCTCATTCTGGGTGGGGAAGGGACAGAAAGCACCCATTTTTTGGGCACCTGGGTGGCTCAGTCCATTAAGCATCCGACTCTTGATTTCAGCTCAGGTCATGATCTCAGGGTGGTGGGATCAAGCCTCACGTTGGGCTCCGCGCTCATTGGGGAGTCTCCTTGAGATTCTCTCTCTCCCTCTGCTCCTCCCTCTACTCTCTCTCTCAAGTAAGTAAATACATCTTAAAAATAAATCTTAAAAAAAACCCAAAACACCCATTTCTGAACCCCCCACCTCAAACTGCAGCTCTTGGCGAGGTGCTTTGTGACAATAGAGGAAAGGCCTGCCTTTAGCCAGACTGGGATTCTTGCCTTGACTCTAGTTCTTGCTGGCCATGAGAGAGACCTGGGCAAGTAACTGACCTTCCCTGAGCCTCAGTGTCCCCCTATATTCATTCTATCGGGATATCTGTGCCTGCCGGAAGATGCTATGGAGATTGAATGGGAAAGCTTCCAGAAAAGCTCCTTGCTCAGGGATTGGTGCGTATTGCATGTTCAGTGTAGGTCATTTTCCTTGTTGGCCCCTCCTCAGACAGAGTCCCCACCCTGCCTTCCTCCGCAGCCAGGTGCCCCACTCCTTCACCCAGGGCTTGTTTTGCTTTGACTAAGCCTCAAAGATCTGTTGAATTCCATGGAGAAAACAGTTCCATGAAGGGTCATAATTCTTCTGGTACCAGCTCTTGTCACTTGTCCAGGCTTAGAAAAAACTGAGTCTGAGAAAATGAGCCTTTTTTGGGGGGGTGGCAGAGGGGGTGGGAGAGAGAGAATCTCAAGCAGGCTCCCTGCTGAGCCTGATGTGGGGCTTGATCTCAGGACCCTGAGAATCATGACCTGAGCCAAAATCAAGAGTCAGATGCTTAGCTGACTGAGCCACGCAGGTGCCCCCCAAATAAGTGGTTTTTAACATGAGTCATCACAGAATGGGGGTGAAAAGGCAGCAGTGAGGAAAATCTCTCCATGGGTCTGAAAAAGAGGCGTGAGCTCATGTCAGACGCTGACATTTTGTTTCTTAAGCCACATGGACAGATCATAAGTGTGGTCAGTAGAAGAGGATACTGACCAACCATCACTATTACCACCATTCCCCCAAATTCACTCAGCCTTGAGCTTGGTTTGAGTCAGCCTTCCTTGGGGTGCAAGAATGAAGCCACCTCTATGGCCGTGGTCCCGAAGCAGCCAGCCAGGAAGGAAGCGGTTGTCTGCAGCCACCTGTGTCATCCCTGAGCCCAGGGGCTGCTGAGAGCTGTCCAAAGTTTCTGGGCATCTCCCTCCCCTCTTGAGCTCATGGCCAGTGGGGCCAACATGGACCACTGTGCTGGGCTCTTCTCATGATTCTTGGGCTTCTCTGGAAGAAGAATCCAGACACCAGAGGAAGCCGTGGGGGATGTTCAAGAGAGAGTAGGAAAAAGACATTTCCAGGCCAACACTGGGTTTTTTTTAGGACTTTGGTCCTTTTATTCCATGGACGCTTGTTGGTGGGGCTGTGAATTCCTCCCTCCCTGCTTCCTGCTATTTCCCAAGTCTGGGAGCCTGAGGCTTACCTGCTGCTCTGATCCTTGAGGATCAGAAGCACCCGCTTCTCTCCGTCTCTTCCCAGTCTTAACACCACATTCCTCTCTGGGCAGGTTTAAGGATTACCGAGAGCCGCCGTGGGCCCCGAACCCATATGAGTTTTCCAAACAGTACTGGGCCATTCTGTCTGCCCGTCTGGCTTTCGTCATCATCTTCCAGGTGAGTTGTTCAGATAAGGAATAGAATCTGGGCTGCAGGGGTAAAGACAGCCACGTCTCCTCTCCTGCCCCTCTGCCCCATGCTTTCAGGACACTGTGACACAGGGGTCTCTGCAAGTGGAGGAGGCAGGGAGCACTCTCAAGAGGACTTCCATTAATGGATGGATTTGCAGAAAGAGAATAGAATGCAGAGTAAGGTTACAAGAAGATGTGGGGTAAGATGCAGGGTGGAGACAGAGTCCCATTTAGACCTAAGACAAGAAAGGAAGCGAGAAGAGCAGTGGGGACCAAAGTCTCAACCCTACTGCAGACAAACAGAGCCCCGCCTGGTCTCCGCAGCTCAAGAAAGGGCTCGAGTTCTGAACCATTCTTCTAGCTCTCAGCTGGCTCCCTCCTTTGTTAGCATGCTCCGGCCCCTGAGACATCTGGTGGGGAGGGCTCCAGAGCCATCCGGCCATGCCTCCATGGATGAATAGCAAACTCGAGCCCCACGATCGCTATCTCTGACAATAGCCGTAGCTCGGGTTGCATGGCCGAGATCTGCGGGTGTGCGGCCCCAGGTCCCACTAGGGGTCCTGCTGCCCTTCAAGAGGGGCTGGAGTGCGAGCCCAGATCCTTTTCTCTTCCACTCCCTCAGGCTTTTGTATTCCTTGAAGGCAGATCTCTGGGGGGCTCTAAGATATCCTGGCCCGACCCTGGCCCAGGAAGTGGAGAAGCCCATCGGCTAGTCTTTCACCTAAAGAAGACAGCCATTCTTGCTCTGTGGAGATGGGGCGATGGATTTGAAAAGCTGCTCCCCCCTGCAGGCGTCCCCTGGCTTTCCCACAGGGCACATGGAACACTTGTTATGTTAACACTGTGAAAGTTGGTTTAAGAGGAGAGTGTGGCTTGAAGCTGCTCTAGAGCATGAAAGGCACCCAGGAGCCTCTGGACGCAGCAGCTGGTCCGCTGGCCCTCCCCGGGGCCCCTAGGTGTGGGGGAGGGTCAAGGTCAAGGTGGGAATAGGTTTAGAGCCTGGAAGACAGCCGTGCCCTAGAGATCTCGTCTGGGGCTCCGTCGCTGTCCCGGATCTCAGAGTGCACGTGTGCCTGGAGGGCAGAGAATGCCCCAGCTCGGGGGGCGAACTGGGTGGGAACTGGGCTATGAAGGGAGCTGCCATGTACCGGGCTGAGCTGGCGCTGTTGTGAGGTATTTGCCACTTCAGTGGGAAGTGCTGCAGGAATGTTTGCAAGCGCAGGGGTGGGGCTCAGCAGGTGGAAGAAGGAAGCCAGTTACCAGCGTGCACAGAAGCTGAGAATGGAGAAGGGGCAGCTGCAGGCAGGGGCCCTAGATGGGCTGGTGTGGCCTGTTCAGCGGGATGGGAGAGAGAGCGGGATCGAGTGAGGGCGAGGTTGGCTGAGGCCAGAAGTCAGGGCAGAAACCAAAGGTCCATCTCTGACCTGGAGGACTGAGGGCGGGCTGGAAGCCAGAGAGGAGCAGCGGGCTCGGGGGGAGCTCTGGGGGGGCCAGCGGGCCCTGTGCCCACTTCCCAGGGAGCGCTGGAGCAGGGCGCCTGCGGGCTGAGAGGCCGGGCAGGAAGGACAGGAGGAGGCCAGCAACAGCCCCGCCCCGTGTGAGGCACTGACTGGTGTCATCCTCACAACAGCTCGGGGGACAGGTACTTATTTAACTGCTCCACTTTCTATATGGGGATGCACCTCTGCCCGCCAGCTCGGGGCACCTGCTAGAAAGTAGCAGAGCCAGAAGGGCACGGCGGTGTCCTGCTCCTGGGTCTGTGCTTGCCACCGCCCCCCCCTCGGCGCCACACCGGCCGCCCCACTCTGATGGGCAAGGGTGACTGTCGGGGGGAAGCCCTGGTGTCCCACTGGGCCGGGCCTCTCCTCTCAACCCCTCTCCCTGGCTTTTGGCAGAACCTCGTGATGTTCCTGAGTGTCCTTGTGGACTGGATGATTCCCGACATCCCCACGGACATCAGCGACCAGATCAAGAAAGAGAAGGGCTTGTTGGTGGACTTCTTCCTGAAAGAGGAGCATGAGAAACTCAAGCTGACGGACGAGCCGGCCCAGAGGAGCCTGGGAGGGGGGCGGCGCAGCACGAGCCGGGCGCCCAGCTCAGCACCCTCGGGCCGGAGCCAGCCGGGCAGCATCGCGTCCTCTGGTTCTCAGCACACAAACGTGTGAGTGAGCCAGCCCCGCTTGGGGGCCGCCGCAGCAGCCAGGGACCTCACAGAGAGCGGCTGTGCACCTGCTCGGGCCTCCTGGTCCACGTCTGCCGGGGTCCAGCCTGCCGGGGTCTTGGCAAGGTGTGCGTGTGCAGAGAGAGAGAGAGGCTAGAGCGAGCGAGAGAATGAGCACAGGCAGGAAGAGAAATGGGGCTGCTTCTCAGAAACTTCAAGCTTAAGTTTCTTTTAGGTCCTCTTTGTATCCTTCTGGGGGCTTGGGACCCTATTTTGAGTCACTTGGTGAAAGAACTGGGCATCTCTACCCCCGGGCTCCCAGGCACCATGAGCCTTCCCTGCATTCCCTCGGGTGTCCTCTCTCAGGTGGCCACAGGCTGGGAGAGAAGTGAGCCCCCATCCTGAGGGATCCTTCACCCCTTCCCACCATCTCCCTGAGCAGACCCCTCTGAGTCTTTGCAGCCGGGGCTGTCACAGCCCCACTGGGTGCAAATTAAGTCACAGGGCTGATTGCTGTGGCCACTGGACTTGATGGTGAGTGGCAGAGGTCCAAACCCGGGCTTGTCTCCAGTTCATGTTACAGGGATGCTTTGAGCTTGTGCAACTAACCATCACTTAACGCAGGTTCAGATCTAAAGTAATAAAATAAATGGAAACTTTCTTTATAAAGATACGTCTCCTTGTCTTTTTTTTTTTTTTAAGATTTTATTTATTTATTTGAGAGAGAGACAGAGATAGTAAGAGAGATCGGGAGTATGGAGGAGAGGGAGAAGCAGGCCCCCCACTGAGCAGGGAGCCCGATGTGGGACTCGATCCCAGAACCCCGGGATCATGACCTGAGCCGAAAGCAGACGCTGACCCAACTGAGCCACCCAGGTGTCCCTGTCTCCTTGTCTTTGAGTCTCTTGCTTTCTGTCGCTTCTGACCAATATTTATTGAGCACCTACTACATCCCAGATGCTGTTCTCAGATGAGAGATACAGCAGAGTCCAAGAGAGATCTCTGCCTCATGGAACTTCCTTTCTGCGGAGAGACAGACAAGAAGCTGATGAATGTTTAGGATTTCAGCTAGTAAATAGGGGCTAAGGAGAAATACAAGGGAGAAGGGAAATGTGAAAGCAGGAGAGGTAAGGGGCTTACCATTTTACATATGAATTAATGACAAGCCCAAGATGGTTCAAAAGTTACATCTTTGAACCTTGGGGGTGGGGGGTGAGATTTTCAAGTATGGTCGGAAGCGAAGACCAAACATCTTTTGTCATTGTCTTTCACACACCCCACCTGCTATGCAGAAACCAGTTACATGGTCCTGTTCCTTGGGACCCGGCCCTAGTCCAACTCAGTGTCTGGATGGAAGCTTCGAGGAGGGCCATGCTCCAGAGGAGAGCTGAGTGTTCTCAGGTTTCAGCACACCTGGTGATCTCAGGGCCCATGGGTGCTGGGCTGGTCATCCTTGCTGCTCCCTGTGGCTTCTGTTGCCTCCTGGCCACGTGCAAGGTGGCGCTGCCGCCAGCTCTTGCTCTGGAAAGTGGTCCCTTCTTTTATGGGGACACCAGGGCACAGCTTTAGTGGGGGCAGCAGACAAGGCTGTCCCACGCTGCTCACGTACCGGTAGTCCTACGGTACACTTTAACCACATCAGGCCTCCGTGGTCATGCTCAGCACGTGAGCCTGGATGCACACTCGGTATTATCAAAACAGAACACTGCATCGCCCTACAACAGGCTTTGGCTAACTTGGGAAGAGGGGAGTGGTCCACGGGAGAGAAATTTCCCTCAGGAGCGTTAATGACATGGAGATTCCAGGCACATAAAAGGGAGGCTCTCCCCAAGGACGAGTCCTTCCAGGGTGGGTGGGGTTGGTATTTCCACACTGAGGGTCCGGGGCTGCCTCCAGCACCAAGATACCCTCTGCGCGCTGACCGCGGCTGGCTCAGGACCCCACCTCTCTTCCCTCTTTTTTCCAAGTAAACATTTTCATATGATCACAGAAGTGCCACTTGCACCCCAAGAGTCAGACGATCAGAAAACCAACGAAGAAGAAAGCCAAGTCATCCACAGTCCCCCAAATTTAGAATCAACATCAGCAATTGCTGTGTTTCCTTCCAGACTCTTAACCCCTCTCAAACTGATGCGTATTTTTAGTTACAATTCCGCGGTATATGCTGTCTTGCTGTTTCCACTTTGTATATCTCATCAATCCTTTTGTCCCGTAAATTTCAGTTTTCTGTTTTGAATCGTATTCAAAATTACGTACCGACCACCTACCACGTGTCGGGCTCTGTATTGGGCACTCGGGATACATCACTCGACACAATGATTCCTGCCCCCCGGGAGCTTACGTTCTAGTGGGTGAGTCAGGAAGACATCATGAACAGCGAATATAAACTATACAGAATGTGAGAAGGTATGAGATGCTATGGAGGAAAAAAAAAAAAGTTGAGCAAGGTAGAGGGGATTAGTAGTGCGCGTAGGAGCTCCATTCTATTTCCTTCGCATAATGGGCCTTTTGCTTTGTTTTTTTTCCTGCCCCACTCTGTCCCGTTAAGGGACTGGAGATTGGGTGTGGAAGCTAGGGGTGGCCAGAGCTCCCCCCGAGAGACCAGGTCAGACGGCGCCTCCTGGGGAGACCTAGGTGGGGAGGAAGGGAGATTTCATCTGCCCAGATATAGGTTTCCACCCTGAAAGGATTCTGCTTTCTCCCTCTCTCCCACTACTAGTGAATTAGGGATTCTGTGATTTGCCCCCACCCCCAGGCCCAAACCATCTCAGCAGCACTCCCATTACCAGCAAGACCATCACACATGCCCGCCTAACAGGGCAGCACCTGGGATTTAGGCTAAGTAAGAAGAACTTCCCAAAGGACTTGTTAAGCTGGGTAAAGACATGGTAGGTGCAGTCCCTAACTTAAACAATAAAACCTTCTCTGAGCTCTTTGAGGTAATAATTAATTTTGTGATTTCACTATAAAATGTAAAAAAAAATAATTGTGAACAAACATCTGAAACACTGCAGAAAGGAAAAAAATATCACTCCTTTTCTTATGTCCTTTCTCCGAAATAGTAACAGTTAATATTTGGGTTTATTTTGAGTTCATTTGTGTTCTTGTGGTGTATGTGTGGTCACCTACATTGGTCTGTAATAGCATCTATTTTGTTTAATCATACAGGTAATATATACTCATTGAAGAATATTTAGAAAATGCAGAAAAAGTAAAACATAAATAAAACAGTTTAAATCATCTAAGTTTTTACCTCCAAGAGAAACAGCCATGAGCTCCAGGTGGAGGGCTTTGTGACCAACTGTATTTACCACTGGGTTCATTAGTTTTTCCTTATTAAGAATAAAAAGAAATGGAATCCATTTGATAGTTGATTTAAATAAATAAGCTTAATGGCTATTTCCCTGATGCGTTCATTGTAAAGAAAAGAGGGTGGAATAAGAGGTAGACTTCCCTTCCCATTTTCCTCTCTCACAGCCTCTTCGGAGCAGCCCTGTTCTGGAACAATCCTGCTTGGGAAAATAAATGATGCTTTTTCTCAGTGAGGATTCCTTCCTTCCTTCCTTCCTTCCTTCCTTCCTTCCTTCCTTCCTTCCTTCCTTCCTTCCTTCCTTCCTCCCTTCCTACATTTTTCAGCTTTATTGAAGTATAACTGACAAATAAAATTGTAAGATATTTAAAGTGTACAGCATGGTGATTTGATACATGTATACATTATAAGAGGACTCCTCCCATCGAGTTAAAATTTTTTTTTTTTTGCTGTCTACAGGAGATATACCTTTTTTCTTTTCATATTTTTATTTAAATTTTAGTTAACATACAGTGTAATATTGGTTTCAGGAGTAGAACTGAGTGATTCATCACTTACATATAATACCCAGTGCTCAGTACAAGTGCCTTCCTTAATACCCATCACCCATTTAACCCATCCCCCGCCCTCCTCCCCTTCAGCAACCCTCAGTTTGTTCTCTGTCATTAAGAGTCTCTTATGGTTTGTTTCCCCCTCTTTCTCTTCTTTTTTCCCCCCTTTCCATATGTTCATCTGTTTTCTTTCTTAAATTCCACACGAGTGAAATCATACAGTATTTGTCTTTCTCTGACCTATTTCACTGAGGACAATACTCTAGCTCCATCCACGTTGTTGCAAATGGAAAGATTTCGTTCTTTCTGGTGGCTGAATAATATTGCATTGTGTATATATACACCACATCTTCTTTATCCATTCACCAGTTGATGGATATTTGGGATCTTTCCATAATTTGACTATTGTTGATAATGCTGCTATAAATATTGGGGTGCATGTGCCCCTTCAAATCTATATTTTTGTATCCTTTGGGTAAATCCCTAGTAGCACAATTGCTGGATTGTAGGGTAGCTCTATTTTTAACTTTTTGAGGAACCTCCAAACTTGTTCTCCAGAGTGGCTGCCTCGGCGAGAATTTTAAAGATGTAGAAAATCATCATTAACTTCTTCTGAAATGGTCGTTATTTTGCCATATCAAACTTTGCTTTTCTGCGAGAGGAATGAAAGCCTTTTGGTTTGCTGAGCCACCCAGCACACGGTTCTAGCCTTGTATAGAGATTCACCTATATTAAGAAAGACGGGAGGGAAACTTACCAGGTGCTCTTCTAAGTGGCAGTAAATTGTGGTAGGAGATTCCACCAGGCTGTGGGAGGCATTTCTAGAAGCCAGGATAAGAATGATATGGGAAAACTCAGAGACCAGTCTTTGCCCCATGGTGGCTTGAAATATGTAGTCAAACAGGGTCTGGGGTTAAACATAAATGAGGAAAACGCTCCTGTCTTTTCATATTGTCACAGTGTTCCCTGCGCTGGCCGGGGTATGCCTTTAGGAAAGATGTTTTCTAACAATGTGGTGTTAAAGGGTCCCTTCAGGACTTAGGCGCTCACCCCCCAGCTGCTGATGGTCCCAGCTGGCAGCCCCTCTCAGAACTGCGGTAAGTGGAAGGGGGTTGCCTGGACCAGGGCCACTCCTTGTTCAGGGGCTTCCTCTCATCTCTGCAGGGGCATGAGGCCCGCCTTGGCTCAATTCCAGATAATTCCAAGGGCTACCTCAGCCCCAGAACTCCATGTGCAATTGGCTGAAACGTATTGCAGCTCAGCTCTTCCCCCTCCACATTCTGCTCACCTCGCTCTCCCCCCAGGGCGTCCTTCTGGAGCACGTGCCCGGTCAACCCCTGCAGGCCAGACACACAGCTCCCCATCCCAGAGTCTGCTTCCCGGAGAACCTGACCCAAGACACAAAACACGACACATGGGGGCATTTGCTTTTGTTGGAATGATGGCTGGATTTACCTTTCTCAGGTTCCCATCCTTACTTTCCAAACGTTGTGGCTCTGGTAATGAATGCATGCTATTCCAGGGTTTTCCAAGGAAAAACCTCTGGAATAAGCCTGATCGATACTCCTTTTGAATGTTACCTTTTTCCAGTCCTGTTAATAGGATTTTAAAAGGTATTCTCGGAATTCAAACATTTCAATGGAATGTGTCTTGATGTGCGTTTCTTTTATTTAATATGCCTGGAATGAGGTGATCACCTTCAGTCTGCATATTCACTCCTTTCTCAGCTCTGAAAGGTATTCTTCCAGGGCGGGAATGGAGTCCAGTATAGCCATTCCAACTGTTCTGATTATTTTAAGGAAACGTAG